CTCAGCGGGTCCTCCTAGCGGGTCCTCCTCCTGCCCTCCGCGGGTCCTCCTCCTCCTGCCCTCAGCGGGTCCTCCTCCTGCCCTCAGTGGGTCCTCCTCCTGCCCTCCGCGGGTCCTCCTCCTGCCCTCAGCGGGTCCTCCTCCTGCCCTCAGCGGGTCCTCCTCCTCTCCCTCCAGCTTCTCTAGCCCTGGTTGTGGTTCCTGCCCACGTTAGAGCCCTGCACAGTAGGCCGGCAGTTAATGCACTTTTCTCTTCCTGCCACAGAGCAGTGAGCAGAGCCGCCAGTCCGGCTCTGGAATTCTGGGGTCATCGCTGTTGTCCGGCTCTGCCCTGTGCCGGCCTTGTAGATCTGCGTCACTGAACCATCGGAGGCACCCTGCAGTCCTGACACCCCGGGGGTGGTGGGAGGAGCGTGCTTCTAGCTGGGGCCTGCACCCCAAGGCTTCAGCCTCAAGCAGCAGCGGCTGGGCTGCAGGACAGGGCGGGTGCAGGGCTGGAGGTGGCAAGAAGCACCGTGGCTGTTTGGGTGTCTGTCGCTGTGTCCCGAGGGCGGCTCTGGGAAGTAACTTTCTAGCCTTGGATGGGAGCAGCTTGCCCTCCCCGAAGGACCCAGGGGGACCAATGCTGTGAAGGAGAGGCGGCTCCTTTCTGACCCTGCCCACCTGGTTTCTGAGCACGGAGGAAGCCAGTGATTCTTTTCTAGCAAGGTCACGGATCACCTGACCAAGTCCTCTTGCAGCCGGGCAGCAGACGCGGCTGGCTGGGTTGCAGTCTGCTCTGGCTCAGTGGGCGGGGACGCTTTCCGCCGGGCTGTGCAGCAGGACGCACCCCACCCCTGGGAAGCTAGCGCGGCCTCCCTGTGCTGCTGCTCTGCCCTCAGATGCGGCTGGTGCAATGCAGGCAGCGCGGACCCTCCAGGAAAGTGAGCCGAGTTTCGAGCTGAGTTGTCTCGCCGCTGTCATCGGGAAGGGAGCTGCCAGGGGTGGGCGGGACTGGCCTGGGGGCAGAGCCTCAGCCCTCTGAGAGCGTCTCCCGCATCCTGGCACAGGAGACGTCCTGCCTGGCTGGCCCGGCAGCTCGCTCTTCTACCTTGGCAGGATCGACCAGGTATGGTGTGAGCGTTCCTCTCTGTCCTCCGGGAAGAGAGTCGCCTTTGCAGGCCACCCGCTGTGCAGGGGTGGCGGGTGACCGGTGGTGAGCTACTTTGCAAGACCTTTGACTTTGCCAGGGTAAACTGTCCAGGAATTCTCGTGGTAGCAAGGCTGTGCATGGAGCCATGCTCTCTTCTCAAGGAAACCCAAGGTGCTGTTTATTTTGGCATGCAGCCTGTTCTGGGGTGAGGTAGAGCATTTTTATTATTGCAGAATAAAGAGGGGTTTGAAGAGAACAGAAATACAGAACCAGGTCTCGGTTTCAGGGCGAAGGAAGGGAAATTCTCTTTATTTGGACTCGAGGTTGGAAACGAAGTCAACAATGGTGAAAGAAAGGAATAAACAGGGGGCAGGTACTGGAGTCACAGGGCAGACCTGGGGCCCACGGCCAGCGCGCAGGGTGTGGCCCTCTGACCTCAGCTGCTGTGGCCGAGCAGCTGCACATGGACGCCGCTGCTGCCTGGCAGTGCCCGCCGTGGTGGGTCTGCGTGGGCAGCCCCAGGGCCACGGTCCATAGCGCCCTGTGGGACCCGTGAGCCCTGGAGGGACACAGGCCTCCTGCCCCAGCCAGCCAGGACCTGCTTGGGCTCAGAGCCTCTGCACCTCAGTTTCCTCCTTTGCACCTCAGATCTGTTTCCTGAAGATGAAGCGAGGGAGAAGGCAGGCTTCAGCACTGTTGGTGCTGCCCCACCAGGCCCATGACTGAGTGTCTGCTACATATTTAACCCTTCCTGGGGCTGGGGGTGGTCAGCTCCTGACGTCTTGGAAGGGCGCTGTGTGGTTGGGAGGTCCGGCTCTGTCAGGGGTTTGCTGAGACCTGGACAAAGCTGCTTCTCAGCCTGGGCTGCTCCCTGGCCACCGCTCCCTTCAGTGCCAGCTGTTGCCAGTGACCCGTGAAGTCGCCCAGTGCCGGAGTCCAGGACGGTGCCAGCTTCTTCCCGTTCTTGGAGGGCTGAGAGCAGGGATGGGTTGACTTTCCTGGGTGCTGTGCTTGCTTCCTCTGCTTGAACTACATTGACTCTAACGGGCCAGGTGTGGTGCTGCACACCTGTGATTCAGCACTCAAGAGGCTGAGGCAGGAGGATCCCTGGTAATGAGGGGATAGCCTGAATTACATAGTGAAATCTTGTCGCAAAAAGCAAACAAGAAAAAAAATCTCTAAAGGGGATCCCGCTTCTTTCTTCTCTTTTTCAGATTCTCCAGGAACCCTGCAGACGCAGCGTTTAAGTGTCTGAGAGACGAGAGCTCACGTCCCTGAGATGGAGAAGACGGAGGGTAGGCAGCGTTTCTGCGCCAGTGTGGAGGGAGCCAGGACGCAGTCCCCAGACAGGCGATGCTGGGGCCAATGTCCCAGAGTGGAAATGGGGTCCTTGGGGCCCTGCACTGGGGCCCCAGACAGGCACGAGTGGTGACAGGGCCACAGCAGGACCCCAGACATCTGGCACCTGAAGTCAGGGCTGCCTCTGAGGCTCTGTGTTCGCTGCCTGGGCCTGGGCATTGCTTGGTCTTCTGGGTGGGGATGCGAGGTTCCAGTGGCCTCACTCGTGTCCCCTAGGCCAGGAGTGGTGGCTTGGCCCTGTGTCCCACCTCACTGGGGGCCAGCTGGGCACACCCCCCACAGTGGCGGAAGGGAGCACAGAGCTGGCTTAGATGGCAGCCCCATGGGAGGACAGGGCGGAGGGGACCCCGTGGCCATGGTGCAGCCTGTGTCCAGCACCCCCGGTGGAGCATCAGCACCATCCCTGCTGTGGGTGAGGGACCCCTGGGATCCATTAGGAAGTTGTGGAGTACTAAGTACCTAGCAGGTGCCCGCATCCCTCTGGGGACCCTGCTGAAGGTCACAGGGCTGACCCCAGGCCTCCTGACTAAGGATCGTGGGAGCCTGAGTCCCATGGCCCTGTCCCACTCAGGCCGAAGGCACCGGTGGTTGGCACAGCCCTGCCCTTTTCCCCTGCTGCAGCAGTGCCAGCCCAGAGCTGGACACGGTCACCCGTTGCACTGGCCCTCGTCCACTGTAGCTGGGGTGCAGACCTCAAACCGGCCTGTCTTGCTTTAGTGTCTGACGACTCATCTGCCAGCCACACGCCGCCCTCGGCAGGTGCCGGCCCACCCTCGTGCCTCCATCCTCAGTGCTGTCCCCTCTGAGGTCCCAGCAGGACCGCCAGGCAGTGGGCAGTGCTGAGCCCGCCTCTCGCTCGCTTGTCCCCTGGCTCAGTCTCTGTCTCCAGCTGGCCCCGGACCCACTTCCCCCTGAGGCTGTGTCCTCCCGGGGAGAGAGGGTCCAGTGCCAGGGTCCAGCGTGAAGTGCCTCGGAACCAGCCCCGCCCTGCCTGGGGTCCTCTGAGACTCAGTGCCCAGCAGCCAAACAGCCAGCGGTGGGGAGTTATTATCTCCATCTACAGAGGGAGACTGAGGCACAGGTAGGGGTCACAGGGCTCAAACCCCGACAGCAAGGCTGTGTGTCTCTTGCTCTGAACAGAACCTCGTTTGGAGCTGGGAGGTTTTGTGATGGATCCCGCCTGGCTGGGCGCTCAGGTCCTGAGCTGTGGTGGCCCTGTGTAGGTGGGGCTAGGTGTCCTGTGCCCTTGCAGGGCAGACGGGAGGGGTGAGATAGCCGGCAGCCAGGGGCCCGGTGCCAGCGCGGGTGTGTGAGAGCGTGTGTGTATCAGTGCCCTCTGCGTGTGCGTGCGTGCACCTGGGGCCAGACTGGTCATGCCCCACCCCAAAGGCTGCCTGACCTGTCCTCACGGGAGGGAAGGCCCCGCTCTGGGCAGCCGCGGACGTGGGCTTCTGCATGGCAGGAGGGCAGGGATGTGGACCTGTGCCGGCTCGGCTCTGCTGTGTCTGGTGCTGCAGGTGGCTCGGGGACCGGGCCCAGGGTGCAGGGAGGGGAGCCTGGGGACCCGCGGGGAGGGAGCCCCGTCCTCCACCATGGACCATGACTGTGCTCCGGGAAGGGGAGGAGAGCGGTGGTAAGGGGAGCTCGGGGGCGGGGGGCTTGGGGCATGGGTGGGGTCTCTTCCCACACCAAAAACCAGGACTCTGCCATGCTGGCTCAAAGCCCATGGGGCCATGTGTAACTCCCAGGGGTGCTGCCCCATCCCCCTGTGCAGGGGATGGAATTAGCACCAGCTGTGGACGGACCCGGCAATCTGCGTGTCCGCGCTGGGGAGACCCACAGTCCCTGAGCACAGGGAGCCAGGAGGGCAGGGGCCACCGGCAGCAGGGGGCGGCACAGTTGGGCGCCTGTCGTCCCCAGTCTGGAGCAGCCCAGAGTGCAGGGCAGGCTGGACGTCATGGCCTTCTTTAACCTGGCCCGCTGGCACCCTGGTTCCCTTCCGACCCCTGTGGGCTGGGGTGCTCCTTTCCACAGCCCGCTGGCCGCCCTGCCCCTTCCATGCTCCGTGAGCACAGCCCCGGCTGGCCGAACACAGGGCTGCCTGAGACCCGGCTGCTGCCTCTTCCTGTTGTGTCTTCTCTGCTCCTTCAGCCCTGGCGCTGCGCCTGCTCTCGGGAGCCCTGACATGCGGCGTTCACGCTGTTTGGGGACAAACGCCGGCACTGTCCTGGCAGACTCTGCTCATTGACGCCTGTCCTGTGTCGCTCCTGTGATGTTGTCACTCCCTGCCGAGGCAAGCTTAGCCCTGGTCCAAGAAAACACTTCCAGAGAAGCTGGAAAGCAGGTCGGGACAGAAGGCACGTGAGCAGGTGTTCGTCACCTCCGTGGTCACACCACATGTGGCTGCTGGATCAGAAACCGCACCTTCCTGGTCTCTGGGTCCCTGGGATCTCCAAGTGCACCGGATACCATGGCTCAATGAGGACTGAGGTGGAGCACTGAGCTACAGCGACTTTGTGATTTGGCACCCAGAGTGAGTGACTGATGGGCCACAAAGCCCCGCACGTGGTCAGCAGCCTGAGTCCGTTTCCGGGACAGGGCTCAGTCCTGTGTTCCGGCTTCTGCAGAGACAGTGAGTGTAACAGTGAGGTGTGTCGAATGGTGACTATTGCACTGCCAGGTGCAGCTCTAGGGACCTCGTGTCTGTTATCACTTCACGAACCCTCATAATAACGTTGCCTGTTACTGTTCCCACATTCAGAGAGGAGACGCGGAAGCCGGGAATTTCCCGGGGGACGCTGGCCAGCTCCAGAATCTGTTCCTAAGCTCTCTCAGCTCAGCTTTCTGAGCGTGTTTAGCAGAAGGTCGCAGTGGCAATGGGGACATCCAACAGGGGACACAGCAGACCCAAGATGTCACCCGGGAAGAGGCGCTGGGAGCCGAGTCCCTGCGGGTTCTGAGTGTCCTGTGGGGTCAGCAGGTGACAGCCGGGCCCAGGCGGAAGGTTTCTGCCCCGCGTCCCGTGGTCGTGCTGTCCTGGAGAGCCTGGGTCCTCACCTTGGAGCACGCTGCTTTGTCCCTGACATCTGACACCGTCTCCTGCCTTCTCCTTGTTGAACTTCTGGAGGTGCAGTTTCTGTTTGCCCAGCACAGGGCGGTTTCAGGGCGGGAAACTTGTTGACTCTGCACGGCCTCTGCTGGTCTCTGGTATGCGTGGGAGGAAGCCTGAAGGACGAAGGTGATGCTCACAGAGCCTCCCACGTCAATAGGGTTTACCTGCAGCCACTTGGGCAATGCTGAGAAAGCTGTGCGTCTCATCCTTCAAGACCGTCCAGAGCCACAGCTGTGGCCGAGTAGAACCTGACTTGTGAGTCCTGGACCACTGTGGCCCAGCAGTTATGTGGCTCAAACTCTGCAAAACAGCGGGAGACAAGTGTGTTCAGTGTCATTGGGCAGGCTCCCCCGCAGTGCCGAGACACGGAGGCTGAGCCCCTGCGCCTTGATGGCGCTGACTTGGCAGGGTGCCTGCGGCCAGCCAGGGGCTGGGGCCTTGCCCCAGTTCAGCCGGAACCTCAGTCTCAGGACTTCTGCTACTTGGCTGGCTTCAGCCTGAGTTCCTGTTCACTCTCTGCTTCTCCTTTTTGAAAAATGTTTTATTAGCACAGGTTTGATTAGCATGTTATGATTCCACTCCCCTGAGGAGCGTGGCGTCTGGATCACTTCCTCTCCCTGCCCTCTCTCTCTCCACCTCCACCTCCCTCCTCTCCAGGGCCCCGCCTCCCTGTTTCCTGTGCCCTCCTGTGTTCTGCTCTATAAATTATTCATACTTGGGGTTTCTCACGTAGAAGAGGCTGTGCGGTATTTAACCGCCTGTGTCTGTGTTTTCACCGTGTGTTTTCCTTGTGTGTCTCCCAGCCCAGGACCAGCCTGTGCACGGGGGTGAGGAGAAGGACTCCCCGAAGGGCCACCCGTACTCGGTGGAGACGCCTTATGGCTTCCACTTGGACCTCGACTTCCTCAAGTATGTGGACGACATTGAGAAGGGCAACACCATCAGGAGGGTGCCGATCCACAGGAGGGCCAAGCAGGCCCAGTTCAGCACTTTGCCCTGGAACTTCAGCCTCCCCCACGGCGGCGTGCGCCCCCAGGCTGCCCTAGTGCAGCAACACTGGTCCCCCATGGTGCCCGGGAAGGTATCCCTGGGGCCAAAGGTGCAGACCCAGCCCCTAGCCCCTCAGGGCCGCAACCCCCAGGCCTCGGCCGGGGGCAGCGAGCTGAGCCACCCCGTACCCCCAGGCCTCGGCCGGGGGCAGCGAGCTGAGCCACCCCAGGAAGGCCCTGCTGGTCGACGCCGCTGGGAGGAGGGAGGATGAAGCACCCGGCCTTGTCAGTGCCCGGCCCCAGCTCCTGCGGGCATCCAGCGTGCCGGCCACCCTGCCAAGCAGCAGGGCTGTGGAGAGATTTCCTGCACCCCCAGCACCTCCTCCACTCCAGGACATAGGTGGCACCTGGGACAGCAGCTTCAGGCCTGCAGAGGGGCCTGCAGGTTCTTCCAGCACCAGCCCAGAAGCATCAGCTGACCACACGGCTGAGGAGCTGGGGGGCCGGGTGCTGGGGGCCCCTGAGAAGGCCGAGCATCCAGCTGGAGAGGTGCAGGCTCCAGATCACCCGCCTCCCCCAGGCTCCTCTCCCTCCTTCCAGAGTGCTCCTGCCATCCTGGAGGACATGGGGGGTAAGGCCCAGACCCGGGGCACACAGGGGCTGTCCACGCCAGGCTCCTCCACCCCGAGCCCCGCACCTCTGCCGTCGCCGGCCCCCGAGAGTGATCTCGCCCTTGTTGAAATGGAGCTGAGCATCAGTGAGCTCCCCCTCCCACCTCCTCCAGAGATAGCTGTGCGGAGCACTGGTGTGCAGGTCACCGCGGAGGCCCTGGGCCCGGACAGAAGCCTGGGACAGCAGCTCTCAGTCCTGCAGGGTGAGCTGGCCAGCTGCACCGAGGAGCTGGCCGCAGCCAGGGCTGCCCTGGAAGCCAGGGAGCAGAGGGTCCGAGAGCTGGAGGGCACAGTGGCCCAGCTGGAGGGGAAACTCAGCCAGGATGCCCAGGGCCACACACACGCCGCGGTGAGCACAGGGCCTCTGTGTGTGGAGACCTGCCACAGGGGTGTCGGCGACGCCTCCCTGAGCCCCGCAGACTCTGGCGGTCGGGGAGCCCTGGGGGAGGAGGGGAGCCTTCTCCGGGTGACCGACAGTGCCCCGCCGGGGGAGCAGCGCCCAGCCCAGCTGTCCCTGCCTCAGGGACCCGGGACCAGCCCCGTCTCGCCTGTGCACGGCTGCCTCTCCATGGAGCTCAGGATCGAGGAGTCGGCTGGCTCAGGGCAGGAGTGGGACGCAGGGCTGGCTGCGGAGGGCACCTCCGGCAGCGATCGGGAGGCTGCACTGGTGGCTGGGGAGGAGGCCAGCCCCAAGCACCCAGGTGGGCCGCCCCGGTCCCCGTCCGATGCTGCGTTGGGGCAGTATGTGAGGAAGATCCAGGAGCTGCTGCAGGAGCAGTGGAGCTGCCTGGAGCACGGCTACCCCGAGCTGGCCAGCGCCCTGCGGCAGCCAGCATCCAGGCTCAGTAGCATCCGCGGCCAGCTGCTCAGCTCGCTCAGCCTGCTGCTGTCGGCCTGCGCAGCCCAGGGCCCCCAGCAGGAGCCGGAAGGTCGCCCGGGCCCCTCCCCACCAGCCCCCGGTGAGTCCCCCACCAGACCTCGGAGGGCTCCCTGTGTGCGTGCAGGAGAGCTCGGGGAGCTGGGAAACCCAGCCAGGTGACTGGGGGCTGCTGCCTCCCCTCCATCCTGGCTCGAGGGTTGCTGCCCTGTCCAGCTGCAGGGCACAGCTGCCCAGGTGACACACGCCACCAGGATGAGGCCAGTAGTCAGATGGCTGCAGCCCGGGCACTGGGCAGGTCCAGGGTGTGTCCCATGTGCACCAGGCAAAGCAGGTCCGAGGACCAGGAGGAGGAGGAGGAGGCCCTGCCTACTGCCCTCTCAGCTCCTTTTCTCCTCCGGCCCTGGATTCCTGATTTCCATTCTGGCTTTCCCACATCAAGGGCTTTCTGTGGCCTGGGTTTAGAGGAACAACTGGAAGGGGAGGTGGAGAGAGAGCAGGGAAGGGAGAGAGAGAGAGACCCCCCATCTCCTGATAGGCCAACAGCCATGCGGCCTGGAGTCTGCGCCCTGCCCTGGCTGTGCTCCTGCCGGCCTCCCTTGCACAGTGCAGCACAGGAAGATCCATGTCCTGTGCTTATGCCACCATAAGCCCAGAGTCCTCACTACCCCTCTTCATGGGTGTCCCCTGGGCAGCAAAAGGTGCTGCACCGAGTCCCTCGAGGCCTGAGTTCTGCTCCTGCTGAGCCAGTCTGGGCCCCAGATTTCTCAGCTGTAGGACAGACGACCATGGCAGCTGTCTTAGCGGCTTTCTCACTGCCGAGACAGAACACCTGACACCAAGTTAAAGGAGCAGAGGTCTATTTGGTACAAAGTTTGTAGAGGATTCAGTTCACGGTTGGCTGGCTCCAAGAGGAGAAACAGCTTACAGCAGGCAGGAGGAAGCAAGTGACAAGCAGTGACCACAGCAGCTCCTTCTGTCCCTTCATTTTACCTTATATTCATCACACCCTCACCCAGAATCAAACCGTGAATCCATCCCGTCATCACATCTGTGACCCCAGTAGCACACACTGATCTAGCCACCTCCAAAAGCCCCAGCTGTGACTGTGGGAGACTAGGGGGACAGCCACATGCAGCCTTTGCAGCACCCACACCTCAGGTCTCAGGGCTCCCAGAGCCACGTGTGAGCCACACGTGGAAAGTGGCATCTGACCAAAAGCCAGGGCTCCCCACAGCCCTGATGCGTGGTGGTCACTGTCTGGGCCGTCCGCGTGCCTCTTCACATGTCTGCCGCCTGTGTCCCCCAAAGCGGTGCCCTGGCTCACTGCCCCAGTCTTGCTAACCCATGATGTTGTGTCTGCCTAGAGATCTCCCCGCCGACCAGCCTTAAGTCCATAATGAAAAAGAAAGACTATGGCTTCCGAGCAGGAGGTAATGGGACCAAAAAGAACCTTCAGTTTGTTGGGGTTAACGGTGGGTAAGCATCACCTGTGACGCCGTACGTCTTCTCCATCCTCCCCTGCGTGGTCCCCGGCACCCCTACTGCCTGGGCAGCCCAGGAACCCATCTCTGTGCCCCTGGGGGCTCCACCCCTGGGTGCTCGTGTTTGGCCCAGTGTTCGCCGTGCCGGTCCACGGGAGCGTCTTGGCTTCCGTGTCCTCCAGGGCCAGGACTCTGGGCACCTGGGGGCTGGGGTACACAGGCCCTTAGGGAAGAGAAGGCTGTACCTGAACCACAGCCGTGAGCTAGCGCAAGCTGTGGTGCTGTGCTGAACTTCGCATTTATTCACGGAACTGTGGCTTTCTTTAACTTGCTGCTAACCAATCCCAGGCTTTGGGATGAAGAAAACCACCTGACTGCTGGTGGAGCCGTCAGCCAAGCCTCTGTGGCCCGGGTGGTGGCTGCTGCATTTAGAATGCAGTCGCAGGTGGCTTACCCACAGGGACACCTTCTTCATGATTCCACTCCTTGGGGACACAGACCTTGGGCAGAGCCTGAGGCCGCCGGCGGATACAGTGCTGGGCGGCACCTGACTGCGTTCTAAATCTGTCGTCCAGCCTTTGTTAGATGCCAGTGATTGCCAGCGGGGGGCAGGGGCAGAGAGTCGGATCCTGGTGCCAAACTTAACCCTGGGTCAGTCAGGAAGTGGCGGAGAGGGAACGTGGGGTGGTTCCTGGTGACCGGAGGCTGGGTGGGCCTGGTCCCACCCTGAGGGAAGATGCTGGAGCAGACAGAGCTGGGCCACTGTGGGAGGTTCTGCCGGGGCCCTAAGAAATGGCGTAGTGGGGCCACGGGGGCTGGTCCCCCTTCTGTGCCAGTGGCCAGTGAAAAGCTGGGAGAGAGGCCGCCTCAGGTCAGAGCCAGATGCAGGTCACTTTGTTCGCACTGTAAATGCACCCGTGACCCCTCTGTGCCCCCTCCGGAGGATATGGTCATGGCCCACCTGCTGTGCCCCCAGCCCACCCAGCTGCTGCTGTGTGGCTCAGGCGTGGCAAGGCCTGGCGTTGGCCTCTGAGGCTGGGAGTGCAGAGTGTGCCGCACTGGTGCTGTGGTGAGCTCCAGCACATACTGACCCAGCCCAGCACCTCCCTGGGACTAGCTGGGGGTGCAGGGCACAGTGGGCAAGGGCGACACCATGTGGTTCTGAAGCTCTGCGCGGCCCTTTTCTGCTGTCCACCTTGCTGGCCACGTGAAACATTTGCTTACGTGTTTGTTTCCTGCTCTCCCGGGGGCTTTGGGATAGCACTAGAACTCTGCCCCGCCACAGCAGTGCTGTGATTTCCACTGAGGGAGCTCGCGGACTTCCAGGTCTTCCTGGAAGCCTCTGTAAGCTGAGCTCTCCAGGAAATGTCCTGTCAGTCACACAGGTGGCAGGTGTCCCAAGCACGGGAGGGGAGACGTGGGGCTAAGCAGTCCGAACATGGGTGCAGCAGCGAGAGGCTGGACTTGCAGACCCGGCACAGGGCCTTGGGAGGAGCCGCTGTTTGGAGAGGGCTTTCGGGGCTCGGAAAAATCATGGCCATTGGTGCCTGTGTCCCCCAAATGGCATCCTCCACCAGGGCCTCCGAGTCCCCCATGACCCTCAGGAGGTCCTGCAGATAGGGGCCTGCGTCAGGTGGCCCAGCCCTCACTTCCGCCTCCCCAGGCATGGCTGGTGCCACGCTGGGGAGTTGCATGGAGCCCCGAGTTTCCCCACTGCTGTCTGGGGCAGATGCGGGAGGGGGGGGCTTGCACAAGGATGGGAAGACTTTTCCGGGGACTCAAAGGGGATTCCAGAAGCAAGCGGGCTGCGGTTGGGCTGAGATTATGTGTGAGCCCAGCCTACACGCTTTCCCGTGAGAGCCGGATCTCTGACCACTGTGGCTCACCTGGGTTCCTGGGTACCCCCTTGTCCTGCGGGGTAGACACGGGGGTGCATGAGCAGGTGGGTGCTTGTAGAGACCCACGGTGTGCAGTGGCGCTGACATGGGTGGGTGGAAGGTCAAACCAGCCTTGTCCCCTTCTGTAGCTACGAGACCACTTCCAGCGAGGAGACCAGCGGTGAGGACAGCTCCCCCGAGGACCTGTCTGACCGCGAGGCTGGGGAGGAGTGTGATGACCCAGAGCGTGTGCAGGACAGGGACGCCCACGCTGGGCAGGGCCACCCTGAGCCCCCCCACAGCACCGGCTGGGAAGGTGGCCTTGGGGAGGGAGCTCCCCACACCAAGGCTGAGCCGGAGGGGTGAGGCCCGTGGGGAAGAACGGGGTGAGGGCAAACGTCCCCCCTTTCCTCCTCCCTCCACAGTGTCTGCCAGGCAGCGAGGGAGACAAGTCCCCTCGAGTGGTGACCGGAATGTGTTCGTGCTGTTCTCTAGGTGCCAGCCCTCCGAGGAATTCCTTTGTGCCTGCCAAGTGCTGAGCCAGCACCCACTGGAAGCCGGGGCCACCGACCCGCTCTGGGTACTGTCCTTTCTCATTGCCACGTACACTGCTGGGGGGCAGCGCACTGGGTAATGGGCAGGCTGAGGAGGTGGGCCGGGTCCCTGAGTTCCGGCCACACAGCTGGAGGGTCTGTCTGTCTCCAACTCTGCCATGGCCCGGCCCCAAGCCATGGCTGAGACGGCCACGGTGGGGAGTGGATTCCACTCCAGGACCCCCAGGAGCTGGGCTGAGTCCGTGGCCCCTCAATAGCAAGCCCTGACATTATTCCACGTCCTCACCGCTGGCCTCAAAATGCCCCCTCAGCCCAGAGACCCAAACCGAGGGATACTCTGCTCCTGTCTGCCTCTGTGGCCCACGGAGCCGGGAACACTGAGGATCAGGCTGGGCACCCAAGGTGGCACAGCCAGAGGCGCTGAGACACCCTCACTTGGGAAGAGCCCTGAGCACAGTCCCCAGGCAGCAGGGGTTGGCGCCTGCCCGGCCCTTCGCTCTTAGCTGACTGGCGACTTGTCCCTGCTGTTATAGAACCAGTGAGCCAGGCGGATACCCCGTGACTGCTCATTCCTAAACAGAGCACAGAACTAATGTTGGCCTTAGCTCCTTATTTCAAATCCACCCCGTGTTCTCCAGTGCCAGCTCTGTGGCAATAGTGGGTAGAGTCTGTGGGGAGCGGTGGTGCTCTGCGGGCAGAATGATACTCCGGCTGGAGGACGGACTCCAATCCGTGGACGTGTTCCTGCCTGGAAATGCGAGCGGGGCCCACGCCTGGCCCCACCATGTCAGGACCCAACACAGGGCGCTACCCCATCTCTGCCTCCTCTTCCCTGCCTGCAAAAGTGGGGTGACAGGGCCCCATACTCCGAAGCTGTGGGGATGAGGGAGCCAACCTCATTTACAGGGACGGGAGGATTCAGAAGGTATAGGACTTCCGGTCACATGCTGGGCCAGGGCTTGTGCTGGCTGGGTGACCCCACTCCAGCCCCTAGTGTGACATCAGCTGGAATAACATAGCCCAAGCTCCAACCCTGCGTGGCACCGTGGCCCTTGGGCCCTGTCTGTGGCGGTGCACCACTCCAGGAGGAGGCCCCGCCGTGGGTCCTTAACCTCTGTGCCCCGAAGGGCAGAGCAGAGCTGAAAGTCAGGAAAGGGCACCCACAGGCCTTGACTTCTGGCTGGAGGTGGGGCGTTTCCAGCTTGGCGGTCAGCACTGGTGTCCCCGAGTCCAGCTCTGCCCTCTGAGGCAGGGCGTGGGAGACCGGCTATATGGCTGAGTCTGGGCACACCAGGGCCTGAAACCCACAGTGCGTCAGGCGGTGCCCAGTGAGTGCCTGGGCCCTGGGTGCCACGTGGCCCCATGGTCCCCAGCCAGTGAGTCACTGCAGCCATGCAGCTGTCACGTGGAGTGCAGGGGCTGAGGTGGGACAGAAGCACCTGCCTGGCCTGTCCTGGGGACCCAGCAGGCACCTGGAACTGGGCTCTTTGGGTTTCAGAGGCAGAGCTTGAACACCATCAGCCAAGAGTGGTTCCATGTGTCCAGCCGGAAGTCGTCCAGCCCTGCCGTGGTGGCCGCCTACCTCCTCGAGGTGCAGACCCTCTCCCAGCACCTCCTGAAGCTGCTGGTCAACCTGGCAGACCGCAGCGGGAACACAGCGCTGCACTACAGCATGTCCTACTCCAACTTCGCCATCGTGAAGCTGCTGCTGGACACAGGTCTGCCTCGGCCCCCTCCAGGCCGGTCCTCTTATTTCGTAAGAGACGAGGTCTCACCATGCTGTCCAGGCGCCTGGGTTCAGGTGGTCCCCCTGCCTCAGCCTCCCAACTAGCTGGGACTGCACTAAGAGCCTTTTGTTTTTTGGTACTGGGGATCAAACTCGGGACCTTGTGCTTGTGAGGCAGGGGGCAGCACGCACCACTGAGCTCAGTCCTGGGCCACCGAGGGCCATTTTTATACCACACGTCTTTCCATCAAGGAGATTCTTCCCTGTGCAGAGTTCCTCCCGCATTCCAGGAACTGGGCTCCCTGTTTTATATCATATCATCTCCCTTCTGCGACGTGAGCACTGCTGCTGTCTTGGGTTGAGGAGCCCCTCCCTTTGGAGAACCAGGAAAGTCACCTGGGTCGAGGTGCTGGCGACTGCAGAGCTTGCTTTTTCTTGGGGTGGGGGTGGGGTGGAAGTCAAACTCAGGACCTTGTGCTTGTTTTGCTTGGCCTGTGACACCTCAGGGATGTGCCTGCTCCCTGGGAAAGGTCGCCTTTCCTGTCCTCACAAGGTGCGTTTCGCAAAGGCCAGGCTTCCCAGTGTGGAGCGCCTTGCCCTCCCCTTAGCCGGCCCGCAGCTGGGAGCCCCGCTGCCGTGGACAGTGCACTTGCAGCTTTGTGGCTGGGGAGCTTCCCTTGCCACGCTGACGTAGCCCAAGGTCCACAGGCAGAGGTGCCGAGGGTGCAAGGACCACAGCACGCCCACTTCTCCGTGCGACAGCCTCAGAGGGCCGGCGGCCGCTGTCACCACTACAGGTGGAGCTGGAGCCCACTCTGCTCAGCCCCAGGGATGCATCCTGCCTCAGGCACCAGGAGGGGCCGTGCACTCTGGGTGCCCACCTCTAAGCACACACGAGAGTCGGGGCGGAAGCGCCCTGGCTGGGCTGGGCACGCACTCCGTCTGTGTACGGCCTGGCTCACCTGCATCTCTGCAGGCTTCACGGCTCCTAGAAGGTCCCAGCCGCCTGCCGGTGGTCTGCAGTTCCCCTAGGAGGCTGTCACCAGTGCCATGGGTTTCTGTGACCTGCAGCAGCACTAGGATGACTGAATGACTCCCACACCGCATCCCGGGGGCAATTTCATGAGCGCAGATGCCAGCCTGTGTGTGACCCTGACTTCTCCTGTGGAGAGGGGCTGTGGAGCCCAGGCCCATGAGGCACAGGCTTTTGTTTTTGTCTTTGTTTTGAGATATGTAACCCAGGCAGGCCTGGAACTTTTGGCGATCCTCCTGCCTCAGCCTCCCGAGTGTTGGGATTATAGGCATGTGCCTTTTTTTGTTTTAAATTCCCACTGACTACATCATCTTTCTTTAAACATAGGCTCCTTTTTCATTCTATGTAGAATGTTCCCCAGTATTTCAGTATAAGAATTACAGTGTCTTCCCCTCATTCTTCAAGCAGGAAGGTTGTTCCTGGGAGGTGTCCTATGTTTCCGCTGGGGCAGGTCTGTGCCCTGGTTCAGGGCGCAGCAGGTTTGAGGCCCTTAGGAGGGACCCACAGACACAGCCGTTCTCGGCTCAGAGTACATGCGGCCCGTGTGTGGCATGGGTGCTGAAGTTGCCTTCACCTGGACGGTTACAGATTCTCTGACCTTCAGTGCCCTCCTCCGGATGGTGGCAGTGGTGTCTTGCATCCAGGTTTAGGAAATCCATGGTCTTCGTCCCCTCTGGCCATCTCTGCACCTGCTGTGGATCCCCCCTTGCTGGGGATCCTCAGAAAACTGGTAAAGAAAACCCAGGTTGGCTGGGCCTGGTGGCGCACACCTGTAGTCCCAGCACTTGGGAGGCTGAGGCAGGAGGACTGATGCAAGTCTGAGGCCAGCATGGGCTACACAGTGAGTTCCAGGGCAGTCTCAACTATATAGTGGGACCCTGTCCTTAAAAAAAAAGCCAGGGATTTAGCTCAGTGGTTCCACCGCCTGCCTCTCTAGCACAAGTTCCTGAGTTCCATCCACAGTACAAAAGCAAAAGAAAGAAAACAGGTAAACAGGAGAGAATTGTGCTGCCCGCACCCTCTCTCCCCATGGGGCCCCTGTGCGCTGACCACAGCGGTCTGGCTCTCCTGCAGGCGTCTGTGCTGTGGACCACCAGAACAAAGCCGGCTACAGTGCCGTGATGATCACACCCCTGGCTTCCGCTGAGACCGACGAGGACATGGCTGTGGTCTGGAGGCTCTTGCGGGAGGGAAACGTGAACATCCAGGCCACACAGGTGGGCAGAGCGGCCGCGCTCCTTGCACACACCACGTAGGGCCCGGGTCCAGCATCCGGGGCCAGAGTGTCTGCTCTCCTGGGATTCCGAGACCTGGGGGCAAGTTCCCTGACCTCCCCCACCCCGGGAAGGCCACTCGGCTGTGCTAAGAGTGCCCTGGGGACCTTGGCCAGGCAGATGCTCTGGGAACGCCTTGGGGATGCCCTCGCTGCGGCCCTTCCCTCTCCAGAGGCTTGGACACAGCCATGGGTCCCAGCCTAGTGCAGAGGAAGCCGGGGCCAGTGCACACAGTGCATCCAGGGCTGAGGGCACCCCTCCTGGGCCTCAGTTTACCCAGAAAGACATTGTAGGGTCTGCTGCCACAGGGTCAGTCTGCCCGGGCTGCCCCAGTATGAAATGACCAAGTCTCAAATGCACCAAAGTCTCCTCTCCCAGGCAGGAGCCAACTACAGGCTAGGCTGGGAGGGCACCTGCTGCCTGAGCCCCAGGGCCCCACTGCAGGTGTAGACGGGCTCAGGCCATGATGCCCCACCACTGTCATCTTGTGACTCAGTGCAGAAGGCCCCAAAGGCCAGCTGGTCTACCTGGCCTTCCTCCCATAGACACCAGATCGCCCCAGCTTCCTTGTAACGGCCTCCAGCCTGGGACAGCAGGGTCAGGATTCCCAGTCCTCCAGAGTAGCCACTGCTACCCAGACCGCCTGACAGCTGCTCACACTGTGCCCACCCTGGGCACTCAGAACTCGGCCTGCACCAGGTGGGAGAAATGGTTGAAAGCTGGCTGACAGCAGAGGTGTGCGGGCCACTGGAGGGGTCCCTCAGCCTTGGCTCCTCTCCCAGGAATGGGCAGGGGTGCAGGTCTTTCCCAGCAGGCTGAGAGGACAGCAGGGAGGCCTCAGAAGGCCCCTTGCCCATCTGGACACACACAACACAGGTCCGTGTGACCGGTGCCCCTACTGGGAGTCAGCGAGTCGGCAGCCCTGGCGTCATGGAGCTGTCAAGGACCTGGCATCCTTGGAGCCAGAGACGAAGGGCACTTTATGTGGTGATCACATACGCAGTGAATGTTTACATTTAAAACATGAAATAATTACAGTAAAGGGTACATTGCCGTTAATCTCCCTCAAAATCCTCCCTATCACTTTGAACACATCCCATGGTTCTTACCACTTTCTGTAGCAGCTCTAGAGTCCTCTTTCCTGAGTGTCAGATGTGATTAAAAAAAAATCCAGTGAATGCTACTGCCAAGTGTCTCCAACAGAAAGGCAGTTTAAAAACACGACTCTGTGTCCTCATCCACCTTTATTCACTGGATCTGGCACCGTGGGACTTCTGGCTCCTCCCCAGTCAGAATCACCAGGAAAGGTCAACATTTGGCCCCGACTCAGGACATCGAGGCAGTCAGGACAGCACAACTGAGGACCCTCAGGAAAGAGGACTTCCGAGCTGCTGCAGGAAGTGGCCATGGGAGTAGAGTGTTTGGCGAGGGGTGGAGGGGTGGTGTTTCGTGGCAATCTTTTTTTTTTTTTTTTTTTTTTTT